CAAATGTGTCATATCTGATCCGGTTTCTTTTGGATGTGAGACTTTCTGCATCATTCAGTGGTAAAAGCTTTGCTCAAACCCCTGTTGTACACATTCAGATATACCTGATAACAGCCAGTAGAAGACTATACCAACATAGATTTCTGACTTATTGCACGCTAATTTGATCAAAATAATTTCTTTTTTTTTCTTCATATGTTGTTGAGGGGCCAAAGAAAGACTTCAGACTAAAAAAATCCAATATTCTTCCTATTTTTCTTGGATTGGGCTTTAAAGGGTTATGGCAAAACAGGTCTAAGTATTTAACCTTGTAATGCCAAATGTATCATATCTGATATGGTTTCTGAAATGTTTTGTGTCTGACACCTTTTGCATAATTTAATGGTAAAAACTTTGCTCAAAATCCTATTGAACACAATCAGATACACCTGATAACAGGGGGCAGAAGACTACACAAAAATTAATCTTGACTTATCGCATATTAATAAATTATTAATATTAAAAAAGTATTTCTGTTTTTTATTTTTACATATTTTGTTAAAGGCCAAATAAAGACTTCAAACCAAAAAATTATAATTTTCTGTTTTGTTTTATTCTTGGATCAGGCTTTAAAGGGTTAACATAGTGCAGTTTTTTTTTCTTTTTCAGCTTGAGCTGCCAAAACAACACATTCTATCACTGAGACTTCATAGTTTTACTTGAATTACTTGTATTTTTCGGTGTTATCTGAGTAATTTAGAGGGAATTACCTGCAAGACACTCCAGCTACGAAGAGCAAGATGGCCACCACGTCACACTTGTTCCAGTTGTCTTCTACGTAGAGTTTAAACTTCTTCAAGATGCTCATCTCTTCATCCGTGAAGAAGCTCTGCCTCACAAAAATAAAATATATATATATTTGTACTTTGTCCACCTTTCAGAGGCAGCAGAGGGACTTAGCAGGAACACAGCCTGCACTCAGAGATGTATAAAGTACTGGAGTAGAAGTACAAGTACTATATAAAAGAATTGACTTGAGTAAAAGTAGAAGTATTCTTTCAACACCATACTTAAGTGGGAGTACTGAAGTATTCAATTTTTTTTGTACCTAAGTATTGCAAGTAGAAGTATTTCAAAAATTGCTACTCAAGTATTGAAAGTACAAGTATAAGTAAAAGTACAAGTACTGTGTATATTAAAAAAGGCAGTCAAAA